TGGACTTGATAAGATATTAAGAGCACCGTTATTCATCCTGCAATGGGGACATTTTAAAAATGCAGTGTACATACAGGACTTTCGTAAGAGCACATACAGTATATAAAGAGAAAAGTATCGTGCTAGTAGTATAAATAATCATTACTTATTTTGCTGCCAGATATGTATATAACTTTTCACTACATAGATAGATATAGATATTTATAGTTAAGAAACATAACAGCTTCTTATAATGTATATTTTGTGTGCTCCCTGTGTGCTCTGACTACTGCAACATTGACATTTCTCCACTGTGGGATGAATAAAGGTTCTCTTGTTCTTATTCTTATAGGATAAATAAAGTGGCATTCTGAAATTGCATTATTGCACATGATTGCAGAATTTACTTTATAGAGATGAGATGACATATAGGCTCATCAATGTTTATGCTGCCATATGTAGCCTAATGTTTTAGTTTTTTAGTTTTTTTCTAATTCTCACCCAAGTTTTAAACCAACATTTCAACCGTTTCCTCGTGGATGACTTTTTTACAAGAGTTCCCACTCCCTCTGCACCCATGGGTGACTGATCAGAGCGCCCTGAAATAGTGATGTGAGGTGCGGAGTGTCATAGGATCACACCCGAGAGCTGCCCACCTGCTCCTGCTCCTACAGCCACGTGAAGCCCCTCTGTGGCGGTGTGCAGGGAGCAGTTACCCCCTCTTCACACAGGGGGGATTCTGTGGAGGCACAAAGAGGTGATGTAGTGACAGATGCTCTGCTCGTCTGTTTAGCATATCCCCACCTCCAAGGATCAGAGCATCACTCATAACCAGAGCTATATATACCTGGATCTGTCATACGTGCCATTTCATTTTTAATCATTGAAAAGAAAGTAATTGTTTTAGCCTATTAGGGTTTTAGTTTTTAAGTTTGATTTTACACTTATAGAATTATTATCTCTGTAAAGGAAAGCGGTTAGAGCTAGTGTTTCTCAGCACGAAGGTCCTGGGTTTGATTCTACCTCCAGGCCTTTCTGTGTGGAGTTTGCATGTTCTCCTCGTGTCTGCGTAGGTTTTCTCCGGGTGCTCCAGTTTCCCCTACCACTAAATGTACATGTACAATAGGTCTGAATGTAATGAGTGAGTGAATGGATGGTGTTGGTTGGTGAGTGGCGTCTCGCTTCACATAAACATTACTTACTTACTGCTATCTTGTATGTGTTATAGATGTTATTCTGTTGCCATTATAGCCCCTACATGCATGGACGCCTACATATTGAGTTATTCATACCATATTCTGTTATGTTAGGACTGAGCTGGTCATTAACAACAGTCACGTTCCACTTGATGTTGTGGTTATCTGAAAGTCTAAGCAAACATATCTATTGGCGATGTGGTAAATGCTGATCAGAACTGCTGTATTATGCCTTGGTAAAAAGACAAGACTAAAACATGTCCTGCTGAGACACAACCTCTGCATCTTTTTCTTCACTTTCATGATTTTAAAATGTTCATTCAGAAGAGAAGAACAACTTTCTTTTCTTTGAAAGCATACCAAGGAAAAGAGGAGAGCGTTCGGCCTACTCAGGATAACGTCGCTAACTATAGATCTCATTGTTTTTCATAATGTTTTGTTTATTTTTATATTTCGACATAATGAGAAATGTCTGAAGTATAAAGAGATGCATTAATGATGTGTTTGTTAACGGCTATTTCGATGACTTGTCATTGTTCATTTTGTATTCTTTCTTGTCTGTTTTTAAATAACCGAATATATACATGTTTTATTAAAAAAAAAGGTTTTAGAGGGTTTGTTGGCCAAAAGAGTTCTCTGATTCCCAATGGGGCTCTCTGGTTTAAACAAAGGTTGAGAAAATAAATAAATTAGTGTCTGTGTGTTATTTAATTTTCTTTAAGAGCACTTGTGTCATCTTTATTCTTACTGTTTTGTTATGCTTTTAATGTGAGCTCAATAGGTGTCGATATGTGTCTGCTTATCAGGAGAAGCATACTAGTTGCAGCATGGGTCAAGATCAGCAGGAGGAGAGGAAGCACTGACATAAATAAATAGCTATGTTTAATACTGTGCCTAATTATATATTATTTGGCTTGAAGATATGCAGCTAAGAGACCGGTGTGGAAAGTGGACTTGGGGAGTACAGTGCAAAAGTTATTTGAAGTATAATTAAAATAAAGGTCATGCATTACCCGTAAGAATCAAAGTAACTCAAGTAACAGGCATAGTTTGTTCAGTTTACTTAATCTCTCACTTTTTTGGGAATTGTTTTGAGAATAAAAGTAGTACATATAACAACTTAAGTACATATAATCGGAACAAAGTATTTGAAACAAATCTTGGACATTCAAACACCATTTGTATGATATTATATTTTTTTTATTTAATTTAGTTTTTTTTTTTTGCTTGTGCCAACTATACTAACCCTATTTTTGTCCTGTAGAAATTATTATAGATATTAAAAATGTTCAAACCAAACCTAATTTTCCTCCAACTTCACCAATTTACTTAATTAAGTCCCACTTAAGTGTACTTTACTTTACGTTCATTGCAACCCCTTGATATCGACTCCCAATTGGATGAAAACTGCTCTTGAAAACCCTCAATCCTTCACCAATATTTACTCAATCTGACCAAATATTATAATTATAGCTTCCTCCTCTCCCGTCGCGGTTATAACCTTTCCGTGCCAAATTTGTGGATGGAGAGAAAGTAGTTCCTGGGAGAGAGCGGGGTCCCGGGACAGCTGCCAGCGAGACTGATCCTCCAATCTGACACGTTAATGAGATCCTGGCCCAGAGTGGCACCGTGTCAGGCCCAGGCACATCCAGCCGACCTCCAGCTCCTCACGGGCTCCACACATAGCTACACACACACACACACACAGCAACACACACAACTACACACACAGCTCTACAAGCCCACGCAGTGATGGAGAGGTGCTGCTGATGGAGGAGAGAGGGGAGAGGGTTCAGCTCCTTAAATCTGTCTAATTAAAACACCAAATCCCCCACACGCCTATGCACACACACACACACACACACACACACACACACACATATAAACACACATACACGCACAGGCACCCCATCCGCCACCCCCGATCCGCCGGAGAAATGATTATTAGGAATTTAATGGGGGAACGTTTCCCATCCCACACCATCTGGGGCTTGGGAATGGCACGGAATTTGAGGATGCTTGCCGGCATGGTGGCATTAATCTAGCCTTTTCTTGACTGCTCTCATTCAAAAGAAGTTAAGTTTTTCTTCTTCTTTTCTCTCGTTTTAACTTAGGCCTGATGTTAGACTTGCCTGCATGGAATCTCAAAACAGGCTCAACTTTTGATTCATGGAGTCTTTTTCAGTGATTGACAAAAAACATATAAATCATACTTCACTGACACAATCTCTCCTCATTTTGAACACATATTTCAAAACCTCTTATATTGTATTTATTCAAGTCTATTTTTTGGCAATTGACACTTCCAACGATTCAGATACCTTAGGGACGGTAGTGTTATTTTAGATCACAATACATCTTTTATGTGTCCCCAGATAACAGGTCAAATGTACAAAGGTATTTGATTTTTTCTGAACAAAAGTTGAACGAAAATGAAAGCAGGTACACAAATATGTGTATATAATGTACAGAATTTGTACTGTACTCTAGTTCAACTCCAGCAGGTGGATTGCATCATCAGTCAGTGCTTATAGCTACAAGTGTCGCAGGAAGTGTGACTGTTATTGTAATGATTCTAAATGACACGTAGAGTACATTTTACATATTGTCACTTTAATTAGGTGCTTTCAGTATAATGATGAATTTGATCAACGGTGGTGTTTTTTTACAGTAAGTTGTCAATAGCAAGACTGATAAATCAATCAATTCAAATGATCAATTCTGACAGAGGAAGAAAAGGGTTCATTTCCATTTGCAGTTTTAATCAATGCAGTTAGAATGTTTTATAGATACACCATGTTGAATATTTTCTCTCCGAACCTCTTGTCCATGGTCAAACTGACTCAAATGCAACGTACGTATATATTCGAGTAATTACAACTATCAAGAAATCACACATGAGACAATTAGTTGTAACGGGCAAAAACATGTTGATTATAAAAATGTGAACTCAAGCTCAAATATAAAAGTATGACAAAAAATAACGTGGACAATACAAATGAATGTATGCGCTGAAAAATAGAAACGCAGACTTGAAGGCATCCACTCAGTTATAATGACAGAGGGGTTAAAAACGTTGACTCAGTTTAGTTTATTCTCTCTGAGCTGTCGTCCAGGATCTTATGGGTCAAAACTCTCTCACAGGGTTCACCAAGAAACATGTGTTGGTTTGAATATAAGTGAAATTTAACAAATAACAACTTTTTTTCCACATAATTAATACTAAATTGACTTTATTAATTCAATATGACGTTGTGTGTTATCAAAATGCTGGATATGTTTGTTTGAAAAAGTTCACAAATGTGCAGTAAATGAAATAATGTACATATTCTCTCACCCCATTCTGATTTCTTTCTTTCTTTCTTTCTGTTTAAATCAAAGAATATAAACCCGTTATAATTCGGTCCACTAGTTCCAGGATGTGCGTCTGGAGTCCCACCTGTCTGGAAGCGGTGGCTGCTGGTCCCTCGGCGCATGTTCTTTGATTGTATGTGTATATGTTCCGTGCAGCGTCAATGCTTGGATACGTTCTGACGCCTTTGCACGTGCACGCGGGGTTGATGCGTGCGCGTAAAAGGAGTAAAACTTTCCTTAAACTTTCCATATGCTCATTGTTAAAGGGCCCTATGGAGCATGCTGTTTGTTGTGAACTAATTATGATCGCGTCTCTCTATACATAGACATATACTCTATCTCACCTCCCACACAACCCCGGCCATATGCTCCTTCTCTCTCCTCCCCCCCTTCCCCCGAACGTCGCACCCCCGCCCGGCCTAATGAGCTCCGTGAAAACGCGCTAGGGGTATATACGCGTTTGACCCTGTGCTAAACTGTGGCGCACGGCCCTGTATAGAGCCGTGGGCGGGACGGCGCAGATAAAACGCGACGCTCACTGCTGGGAAAAGATCCAGGGGGAGTTGAACCTGCAGTCACACGGGCGGGAGCCGAGAGAGAGGCATGAAGGGAGCCATGCAGGGGGGCAATGGGAGCGAGGGAAGCAAGGAGGGTGAGGAGAGAAAAACGGAGCGAGGGGAGCAAAGGGAGCAAGGAGAGCAAAGGGAGCGAGTAGGGCGAGGGGAGAAAGTAGGGAGGGGAAGGAGAAAAAGGAGAGAGGGGATTAAAGGGAGTGAGGGGAGAAAAGGAAGCAAAGGGAGTGAGGGGAGAAAAAGGAGCAAGGGGAGCAAAGGGAGCGAGGGAAGAAAAGGGAGCGAGGGGAGAAAAGGGAGCGAGGGGAGCAAAGGGAGCGAGAAGCGAGGGGAGGGAGAGGAGCGAGGAGAGCCATGCAGGGGCGGGGGAGCGAGGGGAGCGAGTGATGGGACCAGGGCCAAGCGCGAGTTCAAAGGCCCAGCGGGAGTGCAGTCCGCAGGGGAAAGGTGTGTCGCTGTGCCTGCGCGCAAGGGGTGGTTTGGGAATATGCAAGAATTGTTCATTGTAAATTGATTTTCGGCTTTTAATCGTCTTGAGACTAAATAATAATGAGGGAAATTGGCAGATATGCTATAAAATTGCCAGAATTTGACTTTTTATTTATTTTTAAAGCTATTAAATGATGTTAATAATTGGATTGAATGTATTTTCACTCAATCACAACAGCAGGCGTCTTGGATGACTTTACAAAGTTGTGGATGCACCAATCAGAGAATTCAACAACAAACACATCAGGACATGCAATAAAACGGAGCCATACGGAGCGGGATGACCAATGTCCATGTTGATAAATGTCCTTAAATGTCCCGGTCCCGGATCATAACAGTTGCTACACCCTCCTCTATTGGCATATACCTAAATCTTACATTTTAGATAAATTGTTATAATTTCCACTTTGCGTTTTATTGGTTGAAAATCAGGTTTTCAAGCTAAAGCGCCTGAGATTGTGTGTGTGTGTGTTTTTTTACTTTTAAAGTTTTTCCTGTGCCATACTTAATATTCAATTATTGCGTTGTGTGCTCTTCATTCCTGAACACTGACTTTTTCCCAAAGTCGGAAAAATGAAAGACCTCTTTACTTATAGTGTGTCCTTAATCTTATTAGGAATCATAAATACAATAACTGCATTATTTAAGAAAACACAGGCCTGTAGAATTGTTTGACATAAATGTGGAATATCATCCAAAAATACAAACATATTTAAACTTATCTTAGAGTTCGTTTGATAAATATTTAGATAAAATTGTAATTGTAAATACCCGTTCAAGCGAAGGACAAACTTTTCAAAGTTTCCTAAATATTTGCGCACGTATACAACTTCCACAGTTTTGTTGCAGGCCTTGCGTGTATATGTACGTTATAACCTTAAACAGTGGATTAAAATTAAAATTCATCCCTTGATACAGGTTGTAGAGCGTCAAAATAACTTCAGGCAGATAGATTTTTCCCATGATTGCTCTTTATCTTCCTCGTGTGGGACAATTTTTATTTGATTAGCAGTTTTATTGAGGAGAGATAAATGTAGACGCAGCCAATGAAAATGAATGACCCAAGTTATTGCCAAATTTACTAACACTTAGGTCTAACAGTTATTAAATTGAACTGAAATTTTGCTTTTGCATTTGCTTTAAAGGCGTCCTTGAATTATTCTGTGGACATTGAAATGATTTCGCTCCAATGGCCTAAACCTAAAAGCCATCTCTACGCCACACACACAGAACTATTAAATAAACGCGTCTTTATCATTTCAAATAGGGTGTGCTGATGTCATTTATTTTTAAAACATCATTTTGGACGCGTTTTGATTGTGAGTGGAGACGTGCTTGGAGCGCATTTCCTTGGAAACGTTGCGTCTCTGGAGACTCGGGTTCCTCTGGCTGAGGACTGGGATCAACTGTCTGCGCTCTTTGGCTGAGGTCCAACCGCTCGTGGGCATTTGTGTCACAAATCAAGCATCTGATCAAGTCCCAAAGACGAGACACGTTTGGGACGCGTGCGTAAAAGCCATCCAAATCCACGCGTCTGCTGCCAATGATTTTTAAACGCTCAAATTCAGCGCAGTAAATGGTTAATTGTGTCGTGTTCAGATTCTGTAGATAAAACTCGCACGCGTTTGTATAATTTAGACTTAATATTATCAACATGTTTTGCAGTGGTATATTTATGTTCAGTGTAATGTCCATCTGTTGTCTGTCACGTGTCATAAAAAGGTGAGATTTATAGGCGCTTCCTTTTATTGCGACAAACACATCACAAAACAAGGACACATTACTTCACGAAGATCTCGATCCATAACGAGTTTTCTTTTTGTGTAAAGTGTATTCCAATAACGAAAGTGTCCAGCAAAAGCCCCGCCGTTCAGCAGTGCGTGTGAGCAGCAAGGGCAAATCCAAATTTTCAGCTCGTTGCATAATTCTTAAAACTTTCCTCGTCTCGTTTTTAAGGCATGTTCTGATGTTCCGCCAGCAAAATGCATGGATTTCACAGAAAACGTCATTTTACAATACAGTTTTATAATATTCCATATGCACATTCAAGTCCATATCACGACATAGGCCGAAATCATAAATAACAACAGGAAATAAATACATTCACCTCGTTAACACACTATTTACTCAAACACTTTTTACAGATGACGTCAGGCACCTTCATTCATTTGATGCTTTCTGTTTTTAATAGATTTTCAGGAGGATTGCATTAGCTTTGCATAGCTCAGTGTGGTCACGTTATTGCTAACTCTAATCATGTCTCAATCTCCCTGAACAGACTTCAAGAGAAAAGTCGGCATCAGGTTGAAAATCTAAAATGATAGTCTCCACAGTGACCAGTGTCATCAATGCTGTACATTAGAACTGTTTGTGTCTTTAAAGAACCGAGCAAAAATAAATGGTCAGGAAATAGAAATAATAAAAGAACTTTCAGAAGGGAATAAATAAACACAATGCATTCGCAAATTAATAAATAAGAGGAACGCCAAGAGGACAAATAAATAAATAATATGATTATAATATTTCTCAATAAACTCACTTCATACAATAACTGAAAACATGATGATGACGTAGGCCTGTACCACAGTCCGCCTTTAAATCTCATAGATGCCTTTGTGAAAATACAAATTATAAATACCACATTCATAATAGAAACTTTAACTTTTTGTACGGAACATAATCACAAACACAAAGACAGCCGTTTATGCATCAAGTCTTTTGAAACGACTGCAGGTATCAAACTCTGTAACATGCCCTGCAGTCATTTAGACTGTCTCCATTAAACACATGCACTGTCTTCTGCAAAAGCATAACATGATCATGAACATTTCCTGAATGTTGAAGGACAGAAGCGTGGTTTTAAGGTACAGGTTGCAAAAGCACACTTTCAAACAGAGGAAAGAATACAGTGTTTCTGTTCAGTGTAAAATGTGAGAACAGGCGTTCTGAGTTGAAGGTCAAACATCACTGACACAAACTCCAGCGCGTCCCTTCGTCCGTCACGTGATTGAAGAGTTAATTGTGATAAGAGCCGCTGACCTCCCCCTGCGCCTGGAACGACTGGCTGCGCACGTGGAGCTCGTACGGGAAGCGCGCCTCCGGGGACACTCTGTACATGGAGTTGTGCGGCAAAGTGGCGCGTCCTGGCGCGCCGCAGTAACGCATAGCTCCGTAGTGAGACGCGGCGGGCGCGTGGCTCTTGCCGTAATCCGGCGGCTCATCGTGTTTGAGAGAGAAAATCCCGTTGAAGTTTAAAGGAGGACTGAGCTGAGGGTCAAAGTGCGGGCTGCCACCGCTCTCCGAGGACGCGTGCTCGTAGTACGGCTCGTACGTGCTGCTGTAGCTGTAGTGACGGAACGCTTTGCCGCTGTCCACGCCGCTGCCGCTGGGGGTGTCTGTGCTGGGGTAGGGGTACATGCTGTCATAGGCAGTGCGGCCGCTGAACATGACCTCCCCGTTGTGGTCAGTGAGGAAGTTCCTCGCGTTGAGCTGCAAACATCCCGCCACGAGGTTGGTGGTGGGCTGGGACAGTCCTTTACACAGAGTCTGAACGAAGGCCAGCAGGTCCGGCCTCTTGCCCGCACTCAGGGTCTCGGACAGGGCCCAGATGTAGTTCTTGGCCAGTCTCAGAGTCTCGATCTTGGACAGTTTCTGAGTTTTAGAGTAACACGGTACCACTTTCCGCAGGCTCTCGAGTGCGTCGTTGAGGCCGTGCATGCGGGAGCGCTCCCGTGCGTTGGCCTCATGCCTCCGCATCTTGGCCCGGTCCATCTGCTCCTTCCCCTTCTTCTTCCGCGGGCCTCTCTTCTTGGGGAGACCGTCTTCGTCCTGGTCGTAGTCACGCTCGTCCTCATCGCGGTCTGACAGCACATCACAGTCCGCGTCCCTCATGCCCCGCGGGTCCCGGAGGTCCACCTTGTCCCGGTCATCAGGATCCTCACGCGGGAAGTTCGTGCCGAAGCGGGGTTCACACATCATATGCGCGTCCTCGAAAGGCAATGTCAACATATTTCCTGCAACAACAACAACAGGAGCGAGAGATGAGTGCGCGCCGCCGCTCGTGGGAAGGTTGTCTCTTAATTACCTCGTGCACGCGCTCCCAGGAGGAACACCAATGTCACAGCTACTTCATTGTCTTTTATTTCAAATGTGAATAATACTGTGGACTACTGTGGGACATGCCTTTGTCTCTATGTTTAAATCGAGCACTCAAGGCTATTTCAAAAGAATATTACAAGTGAAGAGCCACTCAGGCTTCAGCTGAAACAAACACATCCAAACGTGTCTTTTTTAACTAAAAGTGTGTTCGTGTTGCACCATAATGTTATACCCTGTGTGAATATTGATCTGACACAAACTTTAAGACAGGAAATAACAATGAAACCGGCTTAAAGAAGTCATCAAGAATAAACTGTTGTATTGACTCCATACATTGACACATTGTCCCAACAAACTATACTTTATGTGAAAGAGTGAAGCCTATGGCCAACTCCAAATGAATCATGCTTCCTGTCATAAACGTGAAGATCTCATTCTCCATAAAATGTCAAAAAGTTGAATTCCTCTCGTCACAATCTTCGACATGTTTTGTTATGGCAGTAAATAATTTGCTCAAAAGGGTGATATGTCTGGCTTGAATTGGTTAAATATTGTTTAAAAGCAAAGTCTTTCCAATTAGTTTCTGATGTTACTTTCTGTGACATCACTTTCTGTGTCTGTTTTTGCAAATGAAATATCAGTCTAATAAGTAACCTTTCACACCATGACCAACGCGGTTAAACAGAAGAACAAGCAAATGAAGTGACAGTGAAGTTGATAAAGTGTGTCATACCTGTGGTCAGCGTGCGCCTCGCATGTCTCCTCCAGAGCGCACGGAGCGGTGTGTCTGTCTCAGGCAAAACCAGGAGAAGTATTTCGGTCTCACGCTGCTTTTCTCCTCCTCCCAGACACCCCCGCCCCCCTTCTCTTTCTCTCCCCACGTCTCCCCCTATCTCTCCCCTCTCTCCCTCTCTCTCTTTGAGGAATGACACCCGTGCCAACCGCGGGTACTGGTGCCATCTGCCGCTGACGTCTCGTGGCAGCTCAGACCACGTGTTCTGCGTCCCACGGGAGCTCCACGGCGCCGTGCAGCCGTCATCTGGCAGCTCCGGTAATGGGCACCGCGAGGCCCGGCGTTTACAGTCAGAAACACGAAGAGGAGAGAGATAACAGCTCGTATCCGCAGCCTCCGAGCACTGGTACAACGTCTGTGCGTGCGTCTGTGCGCGCGGGAGATGGATGCTCACCGGAAGAGGCTCTCAACAGGTGAGAGGGCCTGAGTCTGAGCGGGGTCTACAGGGCGGCACTTCAGAGATCAGACGGAACTGATGCTGTCAAACTTCAACACAAATCAGCTTTGGCCCAAACCCCCTATAATCCTATTTCACCTTGGAGAGACCCATGAGGAAAACGCATTAGACTTATTAGATTTAAGCAAGTTTATTGATTGAGCATGTTTGGCGCCCTAGGCCCGGGCGGGATGCTGTTGAGCACGGCGCTTGCTCGCGTGCATGATCCCCCCGGGGCCTAGGCACTGGTGACGGCAGAGGCAGTAGGCAACACGCTTCATGCGAGAAGGAGGAGGTGGGGCGGCGGCGGCTTGCAGACTTCAGAAGATCGGGAAGTGGGCGTCTCCGGCTTTTAACTTGCTGTCCTGGTGGTTATTGGTTGACTGGGTGTGGGCGTTGCTGGTATTGATGAGTCGAGGAAGAGCAGCCTGTGGCCTGGCAGCAACAGCCGGGTCTACCACGGTGAACTTTCGCGAAAGCTCCATTTCACCTTGGAGAGACCCATGAGGAAAACGCATTAGACTTATTAGATTTAAGCAAGTTTATTGATTGAGCATGTTTGGCGCCCTAGGCCCGGGCGGGATGCTGTTGAGCACGGCGCTTGCTCGCGTGCATGATCCCCAAAAAGCGGGCCTGCGATTGGGATAGCAGGACGTACTGCGCGGGCCTGAGAGCATGAGCGAGCTGAGAACATGCGCACGCGCGCATGTTCAGCCAGCCGCTGTAGCAGAGGAATCTTTGAGCGAACTGAGAACATGCGCGCACGCGCATGTTCAGCCAGCCGCAGCAGAGGAATCTTTGAGCGAACTGAGAGCATGCGCGCACGCGCATGCTCAGCCAGCCGCAGCAGAGGAATCTTTGAGCGAACTGAGAACATGCGCGCACGCGCATGTTCAGCCAGCCGCAGCAGAGGAATCTTTGAGCGAACTGAGAGCATGCGCGCACGCGCATGCTCAGCCAGCCGCAGCAGAGGAATCTTTGAGCGAACTGAGAACATGCGCGCACGCGCATGTTCAGCCAGCCGCAGCAGAGGAATCTTTGAGCGAACTGAGAATATGAGCGCACGCTCATATTCAGCCAGACGCTGAAGCAAGGAATCTTTGAGCGTTTGAGGAAAGTGCGTGCCGCCACCAGAATCTTATTGCTTACTTGCTTTGCTGGGAGCTTACGAGGAAGCCGGTAGACGTTGTGCTGCCATGATAGCGGTCGCATCTGGCCTGATGTAGGTGGAGAAGCCGAAGAGGACCAGCGCCCCAGCCGTTGCAGAGGAAGAGTGGGGGAGCCCCAGCGAGGTCGCGCGCGTGGCAGCGCCTATCCTGAAGGAGTGGGCTGTATAGAGCTGGGGAGACAAATTGCAGAGGAGCAGTAGGGATCTTAGCTGAGCTCTGAACCAGGTTGCTGTTATGGGAAGGTTGACTGGAGTGAGAATTAGAGGTCCGTTAAAATCTCCTTTTTGCCGCGGAGGCGAGTGTAACGCATCATGGACCTGTAGGGGCAGAGAGATGTGTCGAAGCGAGCTATTATTGTGTTGCAGGCGCCTCTGATCTTGAATGTTTGAGATGAAGGTTGAATGGTCAGGGGACATTATGTTGGGTGAGAAGAGCGACCTTTGTTTAATGCTTCCACTACGTCGAGATGATCACGCATGACAGAGATCCTCTTTCTCTGCCACGTGTGATTCCGCAGCGCGCAGGCCACGACCACTGGGAATGTCTCGTGTAGGGCAGAGGAAATGCTCCGGGGAAAGTAGCGGGCCACGGCCGGCGAACCACTGGTCCTGGAAGAATCCCCCAAAAACCCACGGAAGGGGCAGCGTCCGTGTAGAAGCGGAGACCTGTAGGGGCAGAGAGACACACCGGAGAGGGCCATTGATGTTGCAGGCGCCTTTACGCTTAGAATCTTGGGTTGGAGAGTAGATAATTAGGCCAGTAGGATAGGACGGGAAGCCGTGTCTCGGACCGCATTGAAGGTTGAGTGAGCAGTGGTGAAACGCTTATGCAGAGAAGCCACAGAAGGCGAGCAGAAGATGCTGCGAGGAGGGCAGACATGTACTTGGAAGATGAGCCGGAGTTCAGCGCCGCTGCAGGATGGGCAGCATGATGGGGAGCCTGTGATCAGAAGAGTGAAGAACTAGGTATGGATGCCTTTGATTAGGAGTCCGATTGACGGCTCAGCGCAGCTACTTGGCCAGCTGCATCTGATAGAATCAGAAGATTCAGTAGAGAGATGAAGCACGACCGCCGAAGCGACCCTGGGAGCATAGGTGCGAGTCCGGCGCAGCGCGGCATACTCAGCCGGGCTGCATCCATTAGAAGCAGGATAAGCTTCTGAGAGAATGGGTTGCAGTAGCAGTAGCAGCAGCGGCAGCAGCAGTAGCCTCAGATAATAACAGCAAAAGTCCTGTATCAAGCCGCGGCAGCAGCAGTAGCAGCAGCAGCGTCCTTAGAAAATAACAGTAATAATTCTGTATCAAAGCCACAGCAGTAGAATGTTGTTGTAGCTGTTCGGGGTTTCAGTAAAAGAGATGCGAAGTGAAGAGAGATGGCAAAGTAAATGAAGCAGCAGCAGCAGTAGTAGCAGCAGTAGCCGTATGAAGCAGCAGCAGTAGCAGTATGAAGCAGCAGCAGCAGCAGTATGAAGCAGCAGCAGCTGCAGCATCCGTCGATAATAGCAGCAATAATCCTGTATCAAAGCCAGAGCAGTAGAATATTGTTGTAGCCGTTTAGTGTTTCAGTAAAAGAGATGCGAAGTGAAGAGGGATGTCAAAGTACATGAAGCAGCAGCAGCAGCGCAGCAGTAGCAGCAGCAGTAACGGTAGCAGTATGAAGCAGCAGAAGCAGCATTAGCAGTAGCAGCAGTAGCAGTATGAAGCAGCAGCGGTTGCAGCATCCGTAGATAATAACAGCCATAATCCTGTATCAAAGCCAGAGCAGTAGAATATTGTTGTAGCGGTTTAGTGTTTCAGTAAAAGAGATGCGCAGTGAAGAGAGGTGTCAAAGTAAAGAAGCAGCAGCAGCACGGCAGCAGATGCAGTATGAAGCAGCAGCGGCAGCAATAGCAGCAGTAGCGGCAGCAGAAGCAGCAAGCAGCAGCAGCACAATGCAATTCATACGAACAACAGACGTGTCACGCCAGCGTGCGCCGCTTGTCTCCGTGAGCCAGGTTACGTACGTGTCTGAAGAGCCGAGCCGTAGAGATAGGTGCAGCCTGGGAGCCTGCGGAGCGGCAGCGGCAGGAACAGCAGCAGCGGCACATGTAGTAGTAGGAGCAGCAGGAGCAGGCAGCAGGGACAGGCAGCAGCAGGAATAGGCAGCAGCGGGATCAGGCATCAGTAGGAACGGCAGCAGGGACCGCAGCAGCGGCGGTCAGAGAACCATGCCCACGGTTGTTTAAGAGCCTGAGGAAATAAATCAACCCGAATCCGAAACATTCCCATGCGAGAAACAGATGTCCCCTGGAGCCATCTTGCTGCTTTGGTTATGGCAGATACGCATGAACGATCACTGATCCATGCGTTCATTAGCTCCAGCTCCACTTCAAACCCATTGCATATTCACATTGGGCCCCTTTTTTTTCTGCTGCACTTTCGAAATGCAACAACTGCAGTTTAGTTACCCAGTTTAATACTAGTGACCTAGCTATTTAAATGCATGGCCCCTCCTTCCTCCTGCAGATAGACGAATTTAAATACATCATTTAACAATAGTGACTTGCGAGTAATGAGATTGATGCTGTAAAGATGGCGCCGTGCAAGAGCTCTGTGTGTGCCGTCTGGAGCACGATGGGGTAGTCTTTGCACATTTTTTCCAACGTGGTTTTACTGCAAGTGGCAGAACATGAATCTGAATTAATGCACATTGCTCCTCTTATATCCCTCAGACATTGGAGATTGATGCCATTTAAGATGCATTGACCCTCAGTTAGCTCAACACGTGTAAAACGGAGCCTGCAGACCAAGCACGGGCGAAGACTGACGCCTGCAGTCAAGTGCGTAGGGCAAAAACCAGCCGCCTGCAGCCTAGACTCCGGGATTAAACTGTCCGCGGTCGGCACTCTCACTGTACTCACATGCCAGGAGACTTGGGAAAGCAACGGGACAACGCGGCACCGCCAGTCGGAGGCAGGGACACGCACGGCACCGCCAGACCGTCTGCGCGCGGCAGCAGACCACGAGGAACGAGCAGCACAGAACCGCGGAGGGGCCCCGCGGAGCAGCCCGCAGAAGAGCCCGCAGAGGAGGAGAGCAGTGGGGATATGCGAACCACAGCAGGTGCAGGGACGCGGAGGAGGAGCAGACCACGAGCAGCCAGACTGAGGACAGCCGGGCCACGCGCACGAGCAACACGTGAGCAAAAGCGACCCCTCCAGAACAACGCATGCATTTGCGAACAGGTGCGTTAGCGACATGCACCTTGCAGGCTTCAGAAGTTTGCAGACTTCAGAAGATCGGGAAGTGGGCGTCTCCGGCTTTTAACTTGCTGTCCTGGTGGTTATTGGTTGACTGGGTGTGGGCGTTGCTGGTATTGATGAGTCGAGGAAGAGCAGCCTGTGGCCTGGCAGCAACAGCCGGGTCTACCACGGTGAACTTTCGCGAAAGCTCCATAACACTTCATTTTGATCAGACATTGACCACATCTCTTTGTTAGATGACTGAGTGGCGGTGGTCAGAGGGGCAGATGAAGAGGAAGTGTTGTTTATAGCAAAGGCAATAGTATTATTGGTTTAGTGCTTTTTACCACAGCTGCTATAGCTGTAGTATACACATGTTCAGTTACATGTACAGTGAAACATAACTACATTCATGTTCACAGCTGATTTGGCCAGTTTACCTCCAAACCACTGAACTCACCACAGCAATAGATTCAAGATTCATCTTGAAAC